AGGGCATGGAATGTGCTTTCGAAAAGCTAAGGGCTCTCTTGACCAGCCGCGGTTACATCGGATGAAAGGCGCCGATATAAGTTGCAGTAGGTGACGTCGTTGAAGGCGCGCTTGGTTCATGAATTCTAGAAGATAAGCCTAGAAAGAAAGAGCCACAAAGGACATACAGCAGTAAGTGTCCCGACACAGTGCCGGTATGTGTCCAGGCGATTTGCCCAGCACTATACCGGGCACCGGTAGCTGGTGAAACGTTGCTGCTGCCTTTCAACCGTAGACCGTGCTTCCCGATAAAAGTTCACCTCGCTATCAAATTATTATGCGGTCTATTCCAAGAAGGCCGTGGCACTATTCAGGCAAAACCTCAAAGACCCTCGACAGCGAAAGAAGACGCTCATGCACGCACCCGATGTACATGGAGGAAACACATGGATGGATGTCTAGTACTCCCTACATGAGCACACAAAAGCAGATGCAACCTAAGAAAGGGGTGAACAAGTTAACGAACTCCCCTGTTCCTTCTATAAAAAGCTAGAGAGAAGACCAAGCCTTGAGAAGCAAGAAGAACGACTGGCCAACCAAAATACGTCCTTCTCAGTGCGTCACAAACAGAAAATGTTTCTCAAGGCCGTGAGAGGGTGTAATGGAGGGAGGCTGAGCTATTCTCAGGATAAAAGACAGAAATGGTAGCAACAGAGAGGAGAACTGCGTGACTGCCAAGGCTTGCTACTTTGAACACGCGTTCGTTTCGGAGTGTTTTCATCCCCTTTTGAAGTATTTTATTTACCACCACACTCTTCTAATATTTTCCCACTATTTTCGGGCTTTCATGTCGAGATTCTGCGCCCCTGCGTGAGGCGTTTGTTGTGAGGAAGGTCATCTCGCTCGAAACTCTGGTTGTTCCCCTCAACGCCGTATTTCCCTCCTGCATCATCACTGCTATCCTTGGCTATCCTTTCCATATCCTTTGTCACTGCAACCATCTTCGCTCGCCTCACTACTGAAATCCCAGCCTTTTGGTGAAAACCTGGTCGATCGGTAAACCGTGAAATTTGAAGACGTCACGCATACTGAGAGAAATCGAGCTATATTTGTAGCTCGAAGGGAATCCGTCTCCGAATCCTGTTGGCGTGGAAGGCTTGACGCGAAAAAAGGCTGTGTGGGGGGTGTGAACCGGCGCTATTGGAGGGGTTCAATAGTGCCTGAACCGGCACTATAGCGGGCAGCCCTCAATAGTGCCGGTTTGGCACTATTCAGGCCTGTGTCTGTGTCAAGAAAACTTACCGGCTATAACGGACTTTGGCACTATTCAACAGGCACTATATCGGGAAACCTACTGTATATTCATTCATGTCTCTGCAGGCGAGTTTGTTTGAAGCGAGTTGCTCCAAAATCTCCGCTGGTGGAACACAAGGTTGTGTACAAAACGCTACGCCCATCCAACATACTGCAGACATCTTCTCCAAGGGCAACAAGTCGTATATCGTGGCCTTTTCACTCGCCTGGTTGTTGGATTCTAGAAGACCAGCCTAGGAAAGAGACACAAGACATTGATTCGCTCATGTCTCTCTGCAGGCGGAGGTTTGCTTGAAGCAAGTTGCCCCAAAATCCCTGATGATGGGAACAACTGATTCTGCGCAAAACGCTACGCCCATTCCAACATCATACTGCTGGCATCCTCTCCAGGGGCAACAAGCCCAAGTAGCATGGCCTGGTCAGGTCAGCTCCTCACAACGGTATCGTTTGGATTCCATATGATTCGGTAACGAAGCCACAATGAGAATCCAGGTTGAAGAGCGCCCATGCGCAGTAGTCCGCTGCAAGGCGAAAAGACGGCCGAATCAGGACGAGGAGGGGGAAGGCAAGGGTTATTTTTTTCAAGCGTGGGTCGTCGCCGGGCTGGCCATGAGATGCATCCACCGCGTTGCACCCCTATAGAACAACGAATGCGGCCAAATGTAAGAGATCGCCCAAAAGCTTACGACCACGCACGATGAAGGGGTAGCACGACGTTTTCGGTGATCGCAACTATTTGCGGCAATCAACCGGGTCGCTCAGGTGGTGTAGTTGGCTACCTCGGCTAGGTTGAGAGTTGGAGTCTCTCGGCCAGGTGTGCTTCCCTGCACTTCGATCCAATTCCTCCAAGAGACCGTTACGGTCTCCAGAGGTCTCACAGAACGGTAAAAAAAAATGTGCATGGAATGATCACGTTCAGCGCGAAGCTCCGAACCACGCACTTTTTTGACCCGAATGCCCTAGGCGCGAGGGACAAGACCATCGACAGTCCTGCACTACTTTAGACACCCCTAAGCATGTTTCAGCTTGATTGGGGCCTTCGCGTTGAAGTTTGGATGTTGCGCTGACCGGCCTCCTCAAGCATGAAATACGAGCATGCACCAGGTGCTTCCCGCACCGAATTGCTCCGATCTCGATGAATTGGAGCCTAAACGTTGCCTATCCTCCACCACATTGAAGCCCCGTCCAATCTACAGCTGAATTGACAAGTCCCTCGACGCTGGAATAGCCATGTGTCGAGCACTTTTGCCTGCCAACGGGAGGTTCGGGCCACACCGCTGCAACCTTACGCGGAATTTATTCCGCCGCATGTCGCACGCACACATCAACAAATTGATGATTGATAACTCTGTCTTTCCTCGTCGAACGTACCCAAGCCATAAATATGCATCCACTGCACAAAAAGTTCGATCTCGAACAACTATTGCGTGCATACAGGTGTCTACCTGCCATCAAATTCCAATCTTCGAGGCCGGGATTAGCCTGCCAACGACAGGGTCGGGGCACACCTCTACTCTTCACCTGCCCCGCGGAGGCTGCTTTTCCGCTGCCGCGTTTGGCCGTTACATACATTTATTTGTTATTGATTTTTCGCGCGCGCGAATAGAGGGACTTCGACTATCTTCGCCTTCAGGGAATATTGGCGGCATAATATGTGCTCTCTTCTCTAGGATATTTTTGTTTGTCAATTTTGTCGCGCCGTTTAGAGAGACCTTATGGTTGCTAGAGGCATATACGGTAAGAGAAACGGTCGGCCAAGCTTTGACAGAAAGGAGCGGCTTTCGTGTGATGTTACGGCATGCGCGTTTCTGTTGGTTGTTCGTTGGTTTGTAGAAACACCATTCTGCAGGTCAGCATTGGGACGACCATTGATAAAATACACCATGACATCAAAAAGCATCATCTATCGGCATTCTTCGTGCATTTACCACATTATTATCTACCTCCTTCTCACACCTGAAGCAGTGCATACCACCAGAAAAAAACTCCTAGAGGACCAGCACGGTTGCCCGAGGCAAGGTGCGATACATGGATAAATTATTTTGTTCGTGAGTAAATCTGAGCAAAGGAACTGCAGGGGCCCTTCCAGCTTCAACAAATCAAGACATGACCGCGGAGGAAAGCTTCTGTTTGACCCCGGATCGCAGCTCGTGTGAGAGAGGCAAAGGCCGTTCGGTAGGTAGAACTGCGAAGAGACCGCTACGGCCTCTAGAGGTCTCACAGAACGGTAAAAAAAAAAGTGTCTATCTGATACGTTCACTCCGAAGCTCCGAACCACGCACTTTGTTTTAGCCTAACGCCCGAGGCGGGAGGAATCAAACCATCGGCCGTCCTGCACTCTAGATGCCCTCAACGAGATGCCTCCTGCGTTAACGTTTGGCTGTGACGGTGACCGGCCCATCCATCCATGCATCTATTGTACGATAACTCCGATCTCGACCAATTTGCGCGTGCGTGTAGATGCCTGCCTGCCATCAATTTCCAATCTACAATGCGGGGCACACCTCTGTCACCTGCCCCGCGGAGGCTGCTTATTCCGCCGAGTTTCGGTGGTTACATGTATTTGTTATTATTTTTACGCGCACGAGCATATATATATGTTTGCTGGCTCCTTTGACAAAATATTTTCTCGGTGTATCATCGGGTTCATCAATTTTATTCTTCTCTCGGTGGACCGGCACGAGCGGACACCTTACTTCTTCGCTTTGAACTGGGATGAGCGGTCGTGTCGTGCCCGTGGTGTGCTGTACAGGAGCGTTGGGCCGTCGCAATCGTTTTAGCGTGGCATCACAGCGGTAGGGAGCGTGAGTTGTGTGACGTACGTATGTACAAGTATGGGTTGACTCAATTTTCCGCGCACATCACCATCATCATCTGTCGGTGATCCGTTCACCCGCGTGTGACATCGGACGCGGTAGGATGCAACAAAATCAAAGCGGGCGTGCTTTGTACGCAGCACCGATTGATTGTGGTTGCATGCATATGCGAATCTTATTCTCGTCAGTACTCTCTACCTCAGATTGAGTATTAGCCCCCATGGTTGTCTGTCTTTGCTTACCGTTTTCTTCTTGACCAAACCGTCGCCGTAAGGATGCAACAAGAATTAATGCACGCGACTTACATTCTTTCACACAGGTACTGTATTGATTGGTTGTGTGCGAACCTTCATCTCGTCTGCATTTTCTACATCGCCTTCTAAAAGACACCAAGGATCTCTCGAGTGATAACTAACGTTGAGTTCAACTGAATTTCCGCGATTGAAACGCCCGGTGGGAACGAGAGACCACAAAAAAATAAACGAAAACCTCTTAGAGGACCAGCACAGTTGCCCGAGGCAAGCTGCGATAACAAGTGCTACAACTGGACCGGTAGATACATACTGCCCAAAACGTGTTCCATCAGCAGGGAATCTTGCAAGCCAGCCTACTCGAAAGAGGGAGTCGTTAATCGTCCTTGACAGACATTCGGGAGATGTGACTTTTTAAGGGACAACAGAGAAAATACGGCTAACTCTGGAAAGCATGCCATCAGATTTCGGTGAGGAGGTCAACCATCAAGGAGCTAGTGCGTCGTGCAGAGGGGGTGGCGGGCAGCCACAGTTCAAGGAGAAACCACCGATTCGTAAACACTGCGATGCAATGCTTCTGAGATCGCCGTAAAATGCGCGTGCACCGGTATCTCGAGTGTCCGCTGAGATAAAAAGGGCTCTACACAGGTGGTGAGCTATACATGGCGGCACAGATCATCTGACCTGCAGTAACACAGCATACAGGACAGCGGTATAAAATGATCGAAGAGATACGTTTGAGTAATCGCTTAGAACATCACACACGGCACGAGCACCACGAAAGATCTCACCTTCGAAAACAATCTGAGACGCTAGGGATTCGCCAGCAGCGTCCAGCGTGTCTCCGTGGGCCACCACCAGCACAGGACTATCACGCAGTTGCTCTTCACGCACTTTCGCGATAGTGGCTATAAAACGCTGTTTTGCTTCTATTCCGCTCTCCTCCTCTGGCGGCTGTTCCCCGATTATTCTTTCTAACTGCACTCCTGCTCCGAGTGCCGCGCGCATGTCCGCTTCCTCTAGGTAGCTGAACGCCGGGACCGCCTCCTTCGTTGCTAAGGTGCCATCCGATCGCTCCTCGCTGTCCAAAGCCAGCTCTGCGATCTCCTTGCGCACCTTGTCCATGCGTTCTCCTACTTGCAAGTGTACCGTAACACTTGCCACGCCTAGCGTCCGGGCAACCACGCCGGCCGTCTGAAGGCAACGTCGGAACGGAGAGCAAACTATCACGGTTTGCGAGCCCATTCCGAGCCGGCCGAGTGCCTTCGCTTGTCGAGCGGGAAGATCGGTGTCGACTATCGGAGGATCGTAAGGCCGGAGCGCCCTGTCAGGCCAAGGTACCGCCGCTAACTCGTCCCCGTCGCCACTCTCCAAGCCCTTGCTTCCGTCGCTGACCGCCTTTTTGGCGACATCCTCGTCGCTCCCGCTACCCGCCGTGATTGCCCCGAGCATTCGTTGTCGCTCGAATATGGCGTCGTCCAGACGAGCCGAGTGGCGCATCACGGCCAGGGGGTGTTCCGATTGCAGCTTTCCTCGTTTGGAAGGAGCGAATCCCTCCGGAGAGTCAAGAATCCATTCCTCTGCCGGAGAACCCATACCGTTCTCAGACGACATTCTCTTTGCGCCGATCGTGGCCACCCCCTCGTTCCAGATACCAGGTTCTACCTCATCCCTGTCGTCTATCCCCTGGCGCGCTTCTTCTTGATAGCCTCCCTCCTGGAAAGCCCGTGCGTGGCCAGTCCCGTTCTCTCTTTCGTGTGGCTCTTCGAGCCCGTTCGCATCGGCCTGATCTTCGGGGAGATGTGTTGTCACTGTTTCGTCTGGGGCGGGCCTACCCTCCGGGTGCGCCAGGGCAACCGCCTCGGCGATTTCTTCTGTCACTGGCATCCTCCCGCCGTTGCTCTTTCCATCCTCGGCACGCACATGCAAAGGCTCTTCCGGTCGCGTCTCCATCGGAAAATCTGAGGGGGTGGAGGCGGTTCGGTTTCAGGTGTCAAGGGGACATAACAAGGATGCCATTCCCGCATGCACCCAATCAGCTGATATTGCAATGATGACTTCTTTCTCTCTTCATCCCGCACCACCATCTACATCGGAGGTTTCCCTCTTTGTTTCTCGCTTCTCTGGCATTAATCGTCTCAAAGACCACATCTGGCGGGCTGCTCAACACGGTACGGTTGTCAGGAGGCATCTAAGACGGTTGTTCGTAATTGAAGTAAAAGGAAACCTCGGCCTCATGTGATGAATTTTATGCACGCTCGTGTTTAACCCCTTTGGGGCTAGGTCTTCTTTTTCTGAAGGGAAATGTTCTTCCGGACAAAACAACAGAAAGGGAAGAGAGTGTGCGGGAGAGAGAGACACACACAAGTACAGCAGAAACAACTTCTGTAGACGCAACAGCTATCTCCACCCATAGGCCATGAGGGCAGTCCGCGACAGGACGGTGGACACAGACAGTATCATGGAAGGGTTGATGCGTGGTCGCGGTGCGGCCAGTAGCGCAGTTTAGGCTTGTAGACCTCGAAAAGATCAGTCGTCAAGCCACCTAAACTACTCTAGTTTCAGTATATTCAAGTGATCAGTGGAAACGATCAGTGAGAGGGCTTGTAGACCCATAGCTGTTTTTTGTACTTCTGTACTTCTCTTTCCCCTCCCCAATGTGAGCCCTGCCGGCTCACTACAGCTCCTGTGATTTTCGCGATTCCCACAAGCACGCAGGCTCACCAGCACACACTTTACCTTTGCATCAGTGGCTCTCTAGGTTCGGGCGAGGGTATATGTGGGGCTATGATGATAGTGTATATGTTACTACTGTATGTTGATACTGCTGCTGCTGTGTAGTATAGCTGCCGACACAACGACTGCTGGATCGTGGGAGTATTACGATTTTCAAATTTGGAGAATATGTAGCATACCACGATATCCTGGCCTGGTTGGGCTTGAAATGCCCCCTTTCGCTGTCCTCCTGCTTTTGCTTTAGTGGCTTCCTAGATTCGGGCGAGGGCATCTATGTGGAGCTATTGATGTGTCTCCCTGTGAAAGGATATGGGGAGAGATTCGTGGTGGCATTCGTATTTAGAGCAGTGTGCATTTTTTTTATTTTGCCGTTCCAGGGACCTTTTTTCCGCTGGCACCAACGTCTTTTCAATAGTATCGGGTAACGCGGTCGACGCGAATAATAAAGACACACCTACCTATTGACTTGCCAACACCTGGCGTGGAGGGATACAGGGCGGCAACTCCATGGCATGCCACAACACCATTTACAAATGATCAATCAATCATCTGTCAGGACGCCTGTAGACCGAAAAGGGTAATGGGAAAACATGATGTTTGACATACACAAGACCTTACACAACTCGGACTCTTCGCGAACCTGTGTCAGCTTTCTTAAGCCCGTGATCCTTTTCCCGTGGGGGTCGATGCCGATTTCTCCGTGGTGTCGACGATTGATCGACCTCAGCAGCGCCCTCCGTAGCCTCGGCGGCGGCACAATCTGACGCAAGAGGCTTTCTGGCAGGAGGTACTTGGCTCGGAGCATGCCCACCGGTCACGGCAGCTCTTGACGCAAGCTCCAGCGGTGGAGAGGAGGTTTCGGCGGCCAGTTCCTCCTTTGGCTTAATCCATGTGGTGTCGCTCACGTAGGAAAAGTTCTTTTTCTTCTTGCTCCCTGGGAGGCGCGGCGCTCCAGACGGCGATACGTGCCCTGCATCCTTTAAGATCTGTGTGTTCATGGGCGACTTCGCGTTGAGACCTTCGTTGTTTTTTTTTTCGCGATTCACACGCCGGCTGCCCGCACTGCTAGCAACAGGTACAGCATCCAGAGGCGGCCCTTTTCTGAGCGCGTCGCGGTCTCGGCTGTGAGCAGGAGTGCTAAACGTGGAATCCACGTCGCCGACGACATCCAGTGGCTGTCGAGGAGAGTTTCCATCTCCTTGTGGTCTAGGAAGGTCTCCCTCCAACACTGGCACATCGTCCTTAGTTAACAGGCCTTCGCTGCGTGAAGATGTTGCCGAATCCAACGGCGCATTGTCCCCGCTTGATACGACCTGTGGGTACTCCTTGCCAAGAGGTTTTTCCTCCGAGCCTTGAACATCGTTCTCGTCGCAGTTTTCTTGGCTGGTTTGTGACCGCCTAACCGAGAGAGAGGGTATATTATCCGCAATTGACACAGGCGGTATCTGCTTTGAGGATTGTTCGGGTTTCATCGGCTCGAGATCGTCGGACTGCGGAGCATCTCCGCCTTCCGCAGCCTCCTCTTTGTATTCCGTCCTTGTTTTCAAAACAGGCGATGGACCCGCGTCTTCGAAACCAGAATCGTCGTCGTCTTCCGCGGTGTCTTCGAAACCAGAGTCGCCTGAATCCTCGTCCTCGCTGCTGCTGCCGCTGTTTGTGCTGTTGCTGTCCGATTCGTCGTCCGAGAATCCGTTTCCTGTTCGATGCAACCGTGGAAGAACGACCATTATCAATATCCACACACACTACAATAATTGTGTCTGTGTAAGGAGCTTGTGAAACAATCAGATGGCACGAGCAGCAGTAGGACACGAATACCTCATTGGGTAGAGTACCCGCGATGCTGCATGCACATATGCACACACTCGGAAAAACTACCTACAGGTCTAGTCTAGGGTGCTACAGGCCGGGCAAGCATGATACACACAACGGGAGAGAGAGGTAGGAACAATTTTCTCACCTGGAGGCTTGGGTTCTTCGTAGCCTCCGATCTTCAGCGCCAACCTATCGACTTGATCTATCATGCTCCCAAGCCACGATGGTTTCTCCCCGTCGCCCATATTGGTGGTGGCACTGGCTGGTCGGGAGGAAAGAGGGACAGGAGGAGTGTGAGGCGAAAAAAATAAAAATGTCGGGAGTTCATAAGTAGAGCGAGCAGCATCCCGGAAAAATAAATAAATGCAAGAATAACGTCAAATCGCCGGGCGCGCGCAGACGTCGACCACCCGACCACCCGACCAAGTATATCCAAACAATCCCGCCGCTAGCATGACACGTGCGACGGGCTCTCTTTCTCTCTCTCTCTCTCTCTCCCCCCCATCTATCTCTTTATGTATATATGTCTCTGGACGCACATACACGGAGAGAGAGTCGATTTTCTCCTCTCCCTCACGCTAGCACCTGTATGTAGCAAAGCTATGGATGCGTCGGCGTGCATGAGGAACATGTAGAACCGGCAACAGCTTTCCAATGTTTGACTTTCGTGGCGGTGATTATCGTGGGGGTACGGCCCCGCCTACCTTCAAACATCCCGAGCATCCTCTAAGGTGATGCCTTCATGCGGGATGATGCTGTTACTGCAGCAGTAGTACTACATGTAGTGGGATCGTAAACATTGCGGCATAGGAACAGACCTTCTTGTTTCATTTGTGCCGGTGAACTACAGAACGCTATAGAGGTTGGACAGGAGAGAAATCACCTTGGAGGAAAGCTTGGAAAATGTTGCCCGAGAAGTGTGCGTATGTTGCATGAACTTTTTTGTATGGCAATCTTCAAACATCACATCCGCATTTATTCATTATTCCTGTGCCGTTCTTGGTTTGATGCTGACTGGCGATGGAAGACCCCCCGCCACGGACCCACACCGGTATTGCGAACAAGACGGAGGGGCAGCAGCCCTGCCAACGACGCCTGTCTTCCGCGGTCAGCGAGGAAAAGGCGGGGGGAGCACGGCGGCGTATAAACATAGCCACCATCAGTCTCGTAGCGGATTGGGGAAGCGAGGGCCAAAGGGAAGGAGGCCTTATGATCCCATGGGGCCGAAGACGCGACCAGCGTCGCGCCAAGTGCTGTCAGATTTGATGGATCTCAACCTTGCTCTTAAGTTTGACAAGATGGGGAAACAAAACAGCACAATACAACCCGACGAACAACCACAACAGTCTTATGCTGGGTTGACCACCCGATTTGGTAGAAGGCACGACGGAGGGGGGGCAAGGGCAGCAGGTGAGAACGCATGCCCTTGTAGCGATTCTCACAGTCAGGCACAGCTCGGGAGAAACTGTAGTAACGTTTCAATGGATGAGCCGGCACGTAAAAGGAGTTGCCCACCCTTTTTGGAAAATGGTTCTGAATAGTTTGATAACAAAGAAAGACCACCCATTTACCTTGCCCACGTGTGCACGACGATGGTCATCGTTCAGAGGCGGAGTCATCGTCGACACTTTTCTCCGACAGACAAGCAAGGCAAGAATCGAAGTGAGTACCATGTACGAAGCACCATTTTATCCTTCTTGACATGTTCGTGACACTTGACTATGCTCGCTGACAGCTGTGTAACGCTTCGCAAGTCCTGGTTGAAGGACGTCGTACAAACGTTAGCAAATGAAGTTTGAACTCTAACCAATGTCTCGCTACAAGCGGCAAAGCACCGCTCAGATGCTGATCGCAACATCTGGGGTCGTGTTCCTGGTGATACAGGTATTCTTCGCCATCCGAGCGCTGTAAGCATGTCGCTAGAGCTCGCAACTCGGCTGTATTAGGAGTATCAAACAACGAGCAACTCGACCATGAAGACGTCTCCACGAGCGTCAAACACGCAGCGGTGGAAAAGTACACTCGCTGGGGTGATGGCATGCAATCGACAACTCCCTGCGTGCCGGCAACGACCGCCTGTGATGTACCATCAGTGATTTCGCCTTCACGGAATTCCACGGCACACACGAGAAATAGCTCACAGGGGGACCAGGGGGACGAGCAATTCAATGCCGCCCCCCGAGCAAGGGATGACTCCAGGTCTTCGGCGTGGAGGTCAGAAAATACTAACACTTGCCGAGGTGTGGAGGGTGGTGATGCGCCACAAGGCTTCGGCCAGGGGTCCAGAAGCGACGTAGACACTGATGTTTGGACAGAGTATGCAAAGGACAGAGAACAAGGACAACATACCCCGTCGCAGGACACTTGCAGTCAGCAAAGCGAGAAGGACCAACGCATGTGGTCCGCGCTGAAGAATTCGCTTCTGTCCGGAAGTTCGAGAGATATGGAGGGGTCGAGATTCGAATATGAAAGCGGGAGGATCGACGATGGTGGCAACCTAGACCGTGGCACAGAATCGCGAGACTTAGAGCAGCTTGATCTCGAGCGAAGTGCCATGGATCGAACTATGCGTCCTCACCGTGTCGCTTCTGCTAGGCTACTGGAAAAAACACATAAGTCCTCTGTACAGGTAAAGGTGAGTAGTTGCTCACCGTCGGTAGATGTTGGCAAAATCAGCAAACTTTTGTCCAGTTGTCGTAGTTTTACGTTTCTTGGGCAACTTGCACCGTTATGTTGCAGGTGAAACAGCACCGTACTTTCTCGGCCAGCGCTACGCGACCTCGCACTCGTCAAGGAGAATCAGCCAGTAGCGTTTGGGCGGGTGCGGGTGGAATACTTCAGTGTACAGGAGTCCGAGCCGAGCTGGTGTCGCGAGACGGTGATGGACACTCCAGCTATAACCGTGAAGCCGCCAGTGGGCATTCGACGTTCGCTGGCGAGGCCGTGAATCGTCGCCGAGAAAATGTCCATCAACAGGCGCGGAAAAGAGAGCTGGGGTGCTCCCGATGGGTCACGAACGATGAAGGGGTGGCAAATTTCTTGCAGAGGCCACCGTCTCGCCAGAAAGAAGCTTTCCCAACTCATCTGGCCGACGTCGTTCCGTATGCGGCCTTTCAGGTATCTGCAGATATCTACCTATTGTGTGCAGGACCCGACATACAATATGAAGCACATTTGATCACCCTGAGCTTGGTACAAGGAGGACAGCTGCTTAACAACATAAATAGTGGTGTCTGGTTGGGTGTTCGCGAGGCATTTGGTATACGCAGCATCATCGGGCTGTGTCTGGATGTTGGTTAACAAGTTTGAAACCATGTCATGTCGCGCCAGTAGGAGGAGATACACACAGTCAAAGTCCGTCTCACACAGTGTTCTTTGGCATGCAGCTCACAATTTGAGCGTCTCAATGGACCCTTTTTTATCGTTCACCGAACAGTGCAATGCCTGCCTGGTCGACGCCCGCGCATTCTGACAGTGTGAATTTGAGCACAACCCCCTCCCTTGCATTCCGGAACCGGAAAGGTATGCCGTATAATGATACCGACGTTGTCAAGCAGGCCATCATGCTGTGACTAACGTACCTACGAGGGCCAAGAAGGATATTTGTTTGTGGGGTCGAGAAACTATGAGCAAGGGAGACAGAGTCGTATCACGAACGGAGTAGTGCTTATTTGGTGGGAACCCACGAAAAATCTTCAACGTACTTGCTGTCTTTGGAAGTGCCCACACCTGAAGAAATGAATGAGTGTCATCCATACAGGGCAGCGCGCATGCATATGGTGCCACTTAAGTGGTGGTTCTTGGACCACAACCAACCAATGATCTACACGTGCCCCATCGTCCCGTGCATGCTGTTTACGCCAAACGAATAGGTCGAAGTGCCGATGGCAGATGAGGAGGCCAAACAGCTTATTGAAGCCACTTGGAAGACCGCGGTGGAACAGACCCGCCCGCCGTCCCGCCATAAACCCCCAGAGCAAAGCCTCTTTCTTGAAATACCAGAAACGCGGCGGCAGATTCCACCGACTCTTTCTCCTTCGCGGCGCATGCTTCCACATGGCACAGAGTCGTGCAGTGCTCTTTCTCCCGGCGTATTTTCAATAGATGTTCCGGAAGCGGAGGTACTCCAGCTATGAATGCGTACTGGATGGATATATTATTGATACTCTCAAGTAGGTTCGCCATGGTGGATTACTAGTGTTGAGATCAAGCCGTCACGTCGCGGCAGCACAGCATCATCTACTGACGGTTCTTGGGTTATGTGTGTACGATTCTCGATGCTGGCGGCGTTCACAGCCCAGCGTGGCGACTTCACTCGATTCCGCTGCTGTGCAGGCGTCACCCTCTGCGCGGGACGCGCTTGGGACTATTTTCGGTCTGGATCGCAGGCACGATAATCCGGACAGGGATGGTAAGTGGAGCTTGCGCCTAGTGTCCAACGAGGAAATCGTGTCTGCTGGCCGATTCTCTCTCCGCGATCGAAGCTCTGAATCGACATACGGAAAGCCATCTTCGCAATTTTTCGAACAACAAAGTGTAACGCAGTAACGTTTCCGAAAGTGTGACCAAGTGCCTTGTCGATGGGCCCAGGATACTACTCCTTGCACAAGTCAATCATCTCGCGAATCATGCTGTTTGTGGCGGTACGTCTTCCACCTCAGGGTTCAGCGTTCTTCATGTCCAAGGGCCGTGCCCCTTCCGAATAGAGGTAACTAATTCGTTCGTACAGGCACAGCCACCGAAAGCACCTGTTGACCGAAAAACCGTGGTTGCACCGGATGCCAGAACAGCAGCAAAGTACCGCCCCCCAGATGCTTCGTGTGGCTTGTTTGGACCAATGGCATGCGATTCTGGTGGGAATGCCAGCGCTGGGAAGCAGCGTGCACCGATCAACACCACACCCAACCGTGCGGTAAGTGGAAAGGCCTATTCGATCTACTGGAATTCGTGAAGACAAACGTGATATGCATACTACGAACGTTTTCTGCGGTCAAGCTACGCTGAATTCGCTCAATTTTAGGGCCCAAACGTCACCACACTTGATGCTGCCCGATGGCAGGATGTCACGGACAACCGTGTTTTTCATGCGCGCCCTCGCTTTGTGGAATCAACAGCTCAGCGTTCGTTTGGGGATGCCTCGCGGTCGTCGCGCATTCACGCAAGCCCGCTGCAACACTCTTGCCGACTTCCCTCTTCGACAGGGTCCCGCCATTGGTTCTCCTGTTCCAGCTCAAAGCCATACGGCAGGGAAAAACTGCGGTATGTCCTTCCGCCTGCTCGGCAGTAGATCCACAGGAGGGATCGCCAGCACTACGGCCCCTTGCAGTATCCGAGGCCGAGACAACAGTTCAGCAGCCGCCATTCCCTCGCCCCCTCCGCGGACAGGCAATGTGAATCACGAACCGACGGATGAAGGGAGACCCGGCACTCCGGAAGTTGGAGAATTTAGCGGACTGGTAGACGGGGCTGTAGAGAACAGCGCAGGGCAAAGAGCGAGCGCCGCAGCAGGAGGGAAAAGTCCTTCGGCTGGGCGACGAGACTCCTCAGGGATAGTCGTGAGCACCGCAGCATCCGGGCAAAACGTGGCGGACTGGTCACTGCAGAGCTGCGATGACGCTGACGACGGCGCGGTGAGATAACCTAGCCTCTTTCCTTGTGTGGGATTCCGCCGCTGGCACCGTGATCGCTCCCGCGACATGCAACAATTCCAAGCCAAACGATTGTCAAATGTTCAGAGCTACATCTCTTCTGTCGGTGGGTTCCCATGGGATCATTGATGGCCACCGACGCATGAACAGAGTTCAAGACTGACCACCGTTAAGGTAGACACGAGAAGTACTGATTGCGCAAATGACGTACTCATGTTCGACTTGCTGGTGCAACAATGGTATCAAAACTGTTCTCATGATTGCAGTTTTTAGACCAAGTGCCTAAATTGGGTGAGGCGGACGGCACGCACCCCTCGCGTCTTGAAACAACACTGGGTCAGGTGCGACTTACCATGTAGATATAAAGCAGAATGACTACGATAGTTGACCCAACGCAGCTCGCCCCAAAAATCCTGACTGCGAGGTGCCATGACATCATGTTCCGAGTCTCGTGTGACAACCGCGGTCAAATCAAAGTTTTCAAGTGACGACATGACATACCCAGGATTCTGTCTGACAGGATGGCCGTGGGCAACGCTACCCGTCATTGAAGCATCCTCGGTCATCTCTGAAAAAACATTCGCTGCAACACTTTAAGACCAATCAGAACCCTACCCGTATCCACATGCAGCATGACAATGTTCCTGGTCCAGGAGGGGATGTGAAGACTGTGCTGCACCTCTCTTCCTGTTGCACATACGCACTCATGCAAACAATGCACCACCCTCCGCCCCTTCCGATGCTGTCAGGATTTTTTGAGATTGTTTGCTCCATCGTCAGGTCACATCAACGGCGGCGGCTTGGGAGAACTGCATTCATGAGATTTCAACTGATCAAATACAACCAAGCTTTGCCCTTGTGACGGGTCTGGCAGAGGAGCTTGGAATATGGGGACGGCGGAGGAGCGCGTGGGCAACCGTAGGCATGCAGCTTCAATCTTCACGATGATGAGTTGCAATTTGGAAACCGGAAATAGGTCCACGGCGCTATTGTTGAGCGAGACTACATGTATGCTTCAATTGCTCTGTCTACGATCGTTTCTTCTTGGAGCCTTAACAGAGAGCCCTCGGAAATAATGAACTAACTCACGTGGTGCGTAGCTGATTGGCTGCAAGCAAGTCTCAATCTCTTGGCACCGCCTTAATTTCTTGAAGGTTTTATCCGTCCTAGCGCATAGACTGTGCCCTGACATTAGATCTATGTATCGTACATATTTTCATCACGAAAGACGTCCACATGGCGCCGAGCTGCACTGCGGTATTGGGAACTTCCCATTTTCTTTTGGGTTCGAGGCGTTCTCTTCGGCGCTATTCGGTATTCGCCCACACCAACACATCCCCGGATAACAGCGCAGAGTGAGGTGTCAATTCTCTGCGTCGTTTGCTCTTGGTGGTGTACTTCTTGGCGCTGGCAAGTTGCACTGCAGTGTGGCAAAACATTCTCCTCGTGTCTGTCATCTGGCTGCCTACCACTGACTGAATACTTTGGGTGCACATACGTCCATCTCAACATGTAGGTATGAACGTAGCAACGATCTGGTGTCTCTAGATCCAGATGCAAACCATTGCCGCATATGCACATAACATCGGTAGCCCCGGTGGTCTAGTGGGTAACATCGCAGCCTACTAAGGGCCAGGTCATGGGTTCGAGTCCCGGCAGAGTGAGTTTTTTCTAACGAAATAAATCCTGGTCTAGGATGAAAGCGACGCTCTGCAACGCTCGTTGTTAGTAAACCATAATCGACTTCGTAAGTCGCGAGGGAAGGGATTGCTGTAACCTTCTCGCGATAAAAATACCTCAGGCAGGAACCGCAGGAGGGGGTCCAGCCCCCCCTCCTATGTGACCCCGGTTGGGTCGTCTAGCTAGTAAAAGTGGAGGATAGGGGCCAGAGGGGCAGACGACAGAGTCCAATGATGGGAGAGCAAAAAAAAAAATACCTTCGCTTTGAGTTACTAAATAGCTCGAAGTGTATTGAACGCGCCAGCACGAGCTCTCTCTTCCTTTCGGTCGGCCAGGCATTCGGGCGTGCCATAATGTGCAGTCTAGCTCTTCTTAGCTTGAGAGGTGTGCGTATGCCAAACAGTTTTGAACTGTCTTGGTGTCAGATGTGTTAGTCTACGGTGTAATCTATGCTCCGGAGGACAACTTGGTTGCCCTCAAAAACTGTAGACTAGACTAGACGACATCGAAACTTCGCGATGGCCAAATCCATCCCTACCTACCTGAGATTTGCCAGGAAAACGTCAAAAAAGAAGGAGATACACAACGCATCGTGTGCTGGCACTCAAAGGGCTCTGTGCTGTTGGTGCGTGTTAGTACTGCTGCTGCTGCTGCTGCTGCAGCCCCGTCGTTTTGTGAAAGTTATAGTCTACGGGGATCTCTGGCTGCATCCATTGTAGTATATTTCTATTCCTCGATGAAGTACATACGTACTACGTTACACCACCGTACACACCAGGTAGATTTACCTCCTCTGATGGGCTTGGCCCTATCTCGCACAAAAAGATCGGCACCCTGCTGAAACGTGAAACATACTGACAAGGTGTGTGTAGACTGGCGCCAGAAAAATGATGGGACGAATTCTACTGTACACAGGAACGCTCTCCCCCGATGGATAACGCCATCTCCTGATTCGAAAAACAAACATGTCAGAACGTGAGAAGAACCCCCGCCCGACACACACCTGCCAGTGGTTGCTACTGCCGTACCAGCCGTGATCCCCCTCTGCTACTTGACTCCGCTTGTTGAGCAGTCTCTACTGCTGCTGCAGCACCACGAGTGCTGAGGTGTCTTCATGTCGTCTTTCATGCAGGACACAAGAGATCCCGAGGAAGAGCTTGGCCTCTTGGAGCTGCTTGGCGAGGGGTACGTGCAAAGCGTGCTCGAGGAAAAAAACCTGTCCCATTGTAGCTTTTTTCCCTTTCGATAACCCGAAAAGTCAAGTATTGCTCCAGCAGGTACACCCGAAGCTAACGGTGTGTGTGTTCACAACAATCGCTTAACTGAAGCTGAAGATGAAGACAATGATTTGGAGTAATCCTCATATCTATCCATGTGCCGCAAGCTCTAAATAAACTGGTGTTATGTGAATTGCCACGACAGCAACAGCATTCATAGCACACTATGCTGGTAGTGCACCCAGGCTGCGGTGTTTACCTGAGGACAAGAAGAAAGGTTGGATACGCCTGCCTTCTGTAGCTATATCACCCCATAGGACAGGCTAGTTTACTACTGCTGTCGCTCTCGTTTACTACCTACTGGTATCAGCAGTCGGATGTCAGGCACCTCGTGAACAAAAACTGCTGAAAAATGGCGCTATATACTTTCAAAGTAAATCGTGACACTCACTTACCGCTCATGTGACAGAGGATCGAGCATCGCGGACCACCCTTGCACACCCTGAAGACTACCATGGTAGATATGCACATCTTACATTTACATATTGGCCTGATCAGTGGTATCGCTAAGTGTAGCCCGCCAGTCCAGATGCAGTGACGGGTGGGTGCGCACCGCTTGGATCGAGTTGTCTCTCTTGTTGGCGCCAAACTACCACTACCCTCGTCCGTCGCTCCTGGGTCTACGTTGAGAGCATTGCGGTTGAACGTTGGATGTTGCTGAGGTACGGCAGTCGCTGCATGTCTATCTGTGTCTTGACCCTTCGATCTCGGTTGGCTTCTACTCTGTGATGCTTGATCGGAGCTCGTTAGCGAGAGAGGCAAACCGCAGGTAGGTACAGTAGTAGAGACTGCGATCGATCGTAATACCGGTGAGTTGCATAAGATGTTGCATAAGATACCACACCCGTATGATAACATTATTGGGGGCACCAAAGTAATCACACGGGTGGTATTCTGTAGCGGGTGTGATGTCACCCGTGTGAAAAAAGTGCACTCACAGAACCCCACCTACAGGGGTGTCATATCAAGCAGTGTGTTTAAAGCAGGAACCCACCTACAAAGGTGTGATAGCTAGGGTGGCATAGGCCACTTCATCTCGTGCTCTCCCACGTGCATTTTGGCAGCATCCTTTGGAATCCTTCGCATAAACAGCGAACGTGTAGTACCGATACCTCATAGCGGTTGTGCCTGTGTTGTATGCGACAAAACGACGGCACACCAGTACATACCTGGACGACGCGACGACTTGCAAGACTTGAGTCCACCATTCAAGCTTACAGAAGCCGCAGCCGAAATCAAACCATTAGACTAGTCAGCGCTGAGTAGTCTAATGGTTTGATTCTGGCTATATATAGTCGTCGGCAACTATGTACGACGCAAGCAAGTGCCAGCAACATATCAACCAAAGCTAGAAACGACAACCACAGAGGCTCTGCCCACCAGGGCTTGTTGGTGCACGATGGTTGCTCAGCAGAGCCGCGTTCAGGGTGTTGGTGGTTCGCGGAGAGCTGCCTTTTCGGGTGCGGGCGTGGGTGCTACGGGAGTCAATAGGTTCTGCTTCGCAGGCTTCAGTGGCACCCGCGATGGCAGGCGCAGCCGGTGCTGTGGGAGCCTCAGCAGCAGTAGATTCCGTTGTGTGGGCCTCAGCAGTACGTACGGTGTCATTTGCGACTGCTGAGGGAGTCGTCTCAGCCGGAGCCCCACGTTACCCCGCGGCGGGTTAAAAAAATGACACTTTGGAACGTGGAGTCGCCGCTGGAGTCTTGCCCACTGCACTCTGAGCCGCGGGGCTTTCAGAAGGATTGCTAGCTGCACCCCCTCCACGGCATTATCGGCCTTCATGGCTTTGTGAACAGGTTGTGTGCTTGTGATCTCGTGTTCTCACGTTGTCACACCGTGTGATAAGCGGGGCTCCGTCGATGTTTTTCGGCTCGACTTTAGGGGGTGTGATACCTTATGTCACCGTGAGATAATATGATGTTTATTTCGGGATTAAAAAAATATAGCACACGGGTAGTATTGTGTAAGTTTGCGGGGTGGTGGTATCTGTGGTAAGAGTAATATCTTATGCAACCTACCGCAGTGGAATGAAAACAAACGCCAGAGCACCAGAACGCACAAGAGACACACAAGACCAGTCGGAAGGCATCGCGAAAAACAGAAATCGTTGATTCTTGCACAGGGCGGCAGTAGAGGCTCCACCTCCACACGTCTCCTTTGAAATCAAGATAAAGGTCCACACTATTCTAAATTCAAGTCAACAGTGCCAAAACGGCAGGCGCTGAAATATAGTTGGTGTTGCCAGGAACCTGGTGCATAGTGCTTTAATCACTAGAGGACATCCTAATGCCGAGGGGGGTGTGTATTTGCGCGCTCAAATCTGCTTTTGTGGTGGTAATATCGAGGGTCGTAGTAGTGGCCTACAATCTCCGCAATCTCCGCAATCTCCGCAAATTAGACCGACACCCAGTGTCTTGGACTGCTTGTGCTCGCCGCCACTGACCCCAATCTATTGAACTGCGGGTTTTCAGCAGTAGCTGATGACATGAGCTACTGCCGACAACCCTCCGTCCAGGGGTTTACAGTTCGTGGCGGTGAGCACGGCTGTGACAACTGTTGGATGCCGCTTTGTTCCGGCGCAGATCTGGGACTGTTTTCAGAGGCAGCTGCGACCTTCGATATTTCAGCTCCAATAGCAAACCTGAACGTGCCAGCACGCACGACGCTTCTTGGTGGCGTCCTCTACTGAAATTAGGAGTACTAATTACCAGGTTACCCCGCGGGAAGGTTGTTTTCTTTATTTATTTTGGAATAAAGTATGAGAAAAGAGCCAGCGTCAACTGCTATGCTGCCATCCCGTAGTGGATTTGTGGCCTGAAAGTAATCCTCGAACCCATCCAATCTTGTGGGAAATGGCAGGCAAGTACAATAGTACTGTATGGATATCTCGTACGATATGCGATACACCAACTTGGTAGGGTCATATCCCATGATGGGCGACACTTGACGCATCGAGTTTTCGTTTACCAGTTCCACACGGCGTATGCGGGCAGCGACACAAGATCCCCGGATCAGAAATAGATGCCACTACAATTTATGCACTAAGTGAACGTCTTAAACCCTTGTTCCCCCTTGCAGATCGTATGGAGCCGTGTACCGAGCCGAGCGACGAACGGATGACATGGAGGTAGCTGTTAAGATCATCCCTGCAGATAATCCTGCCGACTTGCTGAAAGAGGTGGATATAATGTTGGCGTGCACAAGCCCGTACATCGTACGTCTGCACGACTGCTTCTATAAGGTCAGTTAAGCACGACGGTCGGTATGATGCACCATTTGGCGGAATGGCGGCATTATTACGTGTACGATGCTGCTGCACACCTGTGGGTACACACCTAGTACGTCTTGTGTGTGGAGCGACAAAGCACGGCATTCGACGAGGTACATTACAGCAGATTCGGTCACTACGGATGGAACGTGAGCCGTCAGCGTCAACGAAGACGGCATCTACACATGGAACTTTTGAGTCTCGCAGCCTCCCTGTAGTTTCGTTGCAGTGGCAATGTTACAAAATTTCGACGACACCCACGCCGTCACATCTTGTGGCAAGACCAGTAGGGTGCGGGCGTTAAGTTGCTGCTGCAACACCGTTCTTGGTAGTTCGGAGCTTATCCTAGTCTCATCACCTGATGTTGATGTATTTCACGATATCTTAAGGACAACGAAGCGTGGTTGGTGATGGACTTTGTGGGCGGAGGGAGCGTGTGCGACATTCTCGAGGCGTGCCAAGTAACGCTGTCAGAGGACGAGGCGAGAGAGTGCACCGCGTGGACCGTGCTTGCTCTGGACTACTTGCACAGCAACAGGAAGTTGCACCGGGTGAGGAGAGTTTTCAAGTGACAAACAACGCTTTACAAGTCGCACACAAATAGAGCAAAGGCGAGTGCTCGGCTTTGACAAGAGCTGCTTTCGCGCGCATTGATAGTAATTTTCACCTCTGTGTTCATGGCGTGTTTACAATAACGAAGGTGGGTCCAACTAGAAGGCGAGGGCGAATGACGCCGTCAGCCGGGGCACAGCTCTGAAGAGATACCTTGCTCCTTCTCTTCGTGTGTAGTTTGTTCGACGGCACAACGATCCGATCTGACCGACTGGTACATTTCGTCATTGGGTGTGCCGTGGTAACACATTTGTGTATTTTTTTCGTGCAAAATCTCCAAGTGTGTGTGTGCATTTTTTTTTGTTTTGGTGCTTGGCATTTGATATTTCGTCGATACCAAGCTTGATAAACAAACAACATTCGCTGCAAGGACGTGCCAGTTTCAGGCTTGTATATGATCGGTACACTGACTTGTGGTGTATGTGTTCGCGGTCAATTTGCTGATACATGTAGAGGGGCGGCATCGGAGATTTTGCGCTCGCTGGAAGCCCACTGCCACATGCGGTGATTGCGTACTTTTCTACATTCTGGCGCGGTGCGTGTTGTTGTGCTGCTGCTATGCCCATAGATCAATAGATCGGGTGCCAAGTATTGAGTGCTTAGTGGCGTAGCGTGTAATTTTTGAGAGCAACTGCGACCCTCCTGAAGCTTGCTACCAAATACCAGTCCTACGAGGAGCATCTTGACATATATCAAATCCTGGGAAAGCCTTCATGACTCAAGGTAAAATGTTGTTGCTTGTTGACGTCGCCGTCGTTCCATTTGTGAAACTTCGCTTGCAAAGATCTAACTAGCTACCCGACGGTTGCCCGCTGAGGAGCTCCGATCTGGGGCAACGGGGGAAAATGTATCTGCGGTACAGCCTTCAATCGTTTCCGCGATGATGGATCGGCCGTCAATACCCTCACTCGTACCAGGTGTCACAATGTATCATACCTCCTGGAGTTGTACAGAAAGAGAGGCGACGTCGAAAATGGCGGTGATCGAGCTGTCTTGTTCAGAGCTTTCCGAGAACGTATCGCTTGATGTATGCGCCCTCTTCGTCGTGAAGCGATCGAACTTCGAAAATCAGTCCAGGGTGTGTGATATCTTATGTCTGTCACCTATGGTACTCACGAACAAGCACTTTCCACTTCTTGGCACGTAATGTGGAATGAGCACACCTCGCCGCTAGCCGCTAGATACCTTTGAGATTGCCATTTAGACCACCGGGGCGACCGGCTACATGCAGCAACCAATGCCTATAAAACTTAACTTCCAAATGGACATTTCTTGGGGCTGATGCGTGTTGACTTCGTTCCGGTGTTTTTTATCACCCAAGCAGATTATTAGAGCCAAAGAATCGTCACAGCCAACATGGTAATGTACTTCGTCTAACGCAGCCTTTATGCTCCTTTTCACAGGATGTGAAGGCCGGAAACATCCTTCTGACGCTTGACGGGCGAGCAAAGCTGGCGGATTTTGGCGTTTCGAAAGAGGTACGTTACCTTAACGTTGCGAGACCACGCTGCTCACGATAGTGAAATGACAGGTTGGGTTTGACCAGAGTGTTCCGACGGACATGTGAGAGTTCATTGAACTAGCCACAGGGTGTCGTCTGGTTTGTGCTGAAATCTTCACCTCGGGGTAGCCGAGATTGTTGGTCGTATCGGTGCCGACTTTGTGGAAGGCGGTGTGACGTTCGCGTTGATGTTGAGCTATGGAGCCAATGGTCTTACTTTGGCGTGCAGTGACGTCGATTTTGAGAGTTCTTGATGGGTTGAAACCAACAGTTTTAGCCGTGAATATTCCGTTGCACCCTCTCCTGATTTCGTCCTTTCGTCTCTACAAGGTCAACACGATGGCGAATAAAGCCCAGACAGTTATTGGCACTCCTTATTGGATGGCGCCAGAAGTAATTCAGGAGGTGAGGGTCTCACTTGTCTTCGGATACAGTTTTCGGATTGCTCAATGTCTTTGGTGGCAATGACTGTTTTTTAGTGGACGAGACGCAGTTCTTATCTTGCGAGCAGCCAAGTGGTACGTTTCCTTTACTTCTGTGGTGGTTGTTTTTGTGGAGTTGAAGGTAAGCAGTGACACGCCACGCTACATGCTTCAGCACGGCCCCGCTTTCGGATGCTCGATACTCGTATGCACAGTACGCAAGGCGTAGCCTGGGCGTGCTTTGTGACGTCGGGAGGACTGCTTGTGGGACAACAGATCTCACTTTTCCCCTCACTTTTCCCCTCGTTTCGTGTTGCCTCATATCAGGTTCCGTATAATGGCCAAGCAGATATTTGGTCTCTGGCAATCACCTGCATTGAGATGGTGGAGGGTAACCCGCCTCTGCACAACGTGCACCCAATGCGAGCCATCTTCATGATACCGTCCAAACCAAGTCCGACGTTGTCCGAGCCCGCTAAATGGTCGCTGGTGAGGACTTGCTTTTGTCCATGGGGTGGCTCAGCCTTGCGGTTGCTCGATTTCCTGTCGGCGTATTTGTTAAGGAATTACAAAATCTCTTTTGCCTCATGTTTTTTCCATCCAAATTCTCGTTTCGATCACTTCCTAATTTTCAGCACTCGATTGCACTCCTTGGTGCGGTTTGGCAGGAGTTCAACGACTTTGTCGGCAGGTGCTTGGAGAAGAAGCCGGATGACCGCCCTTCGTCAAGGGCTATCTTACGGGTCGGTTGATAGCGTGTGATAGTGCGTTCCTGCCATACCGACGTTTGCCAGAATTGTTATCGAAAAGAAGCACATTCAGCAAGATGTCATTGGTTGCCGCCGTTTGAAGTGTCTGGATAGAAAGCATATCGGGAAGTGCATAGCCCAGTTGTAAATCCTGCGCGCCATGCTCTTCATCAATTGAAGTGCATCTACCCTTGGGCGCCGTCTCGACTTCCCTGTGGTCGTTATGAGACATGAAATTTTGAGCGCTCGCGCGCAACCCCACAAATGTTGTGCGTCCTTGCTTAGGGTATGAACTCCCGTCTCATATTCATCAATACCCGCAGCATCCCTGGATTGCAGCGAGCGTGGAAGCTATCCAAAGTTGCGATGGAGAGAGAGGGTCCGCTGTCATCCAGGACTTGGTCGCCGAACATTTGCCTGTGTTGAAAAGGTTTCGAGAGGTGCGCGTCCTATAACGGTTAATGTAAGTGAGAATGCTGGATAGGGTAAGTGCCGGTCGTACGTTGCATGGGAACAACACGCGCATGCCGCCGAGCACGGACGCGATAAGGCCACACATATGCATATTAATGTGTGGAACGTTCGCCTCTTCCGTGCGCAGGAAGCTAGTGATGCCAAGGCCAACATGGCAGGCCAAGAGAGCAGCGAAGATTGCAGCGGTAGCAAGACGGCTACATTGCGACGAATGAGGTGATCGTTCAGCTGGTGGAGTTATTTCTTGTATTCGTATGGGTCGTGCCTTCGTAAAGGCCGAAAGATAGACCTGTCTGGCAATCTGCCTCTGTGTAATCTGGGCTTGGACCATATAATAGTGGCTCGACCTTTTGTGTGGTGCCACATTTGCGCCAGGCGTGACTTTTCCTTTCGAGGCCTTTTTTTACTCAAAGGCAAGCTATTAATAGTTGCCGCGGTTGCGCTACTGTGCTTACAGATTTCTGTCGCGTCTGCCTTTTTTCAACATGTAGGTGTTAAAAAGCGGAAACGCTGGGACCATCACGGTCTACCTAGTTGTGTTTTGAATGAACCATCCTTTCCCTGTTTACAGCAGCACAAAAGGTGGGGATGTCTTCCGAGCAAACGGGTCACCTGATGCAAGGGTTCCTGGTTCTCATGGCGACGGAGCGGATGCAGATGGTAGGATGCCGGAGCAAGAAGATGAATGTGACGGTGCGACCCTTTGTTTGGCGCGGAGATTCTCACGTTGAAGCAAAAGCAGTATCGGATAAAATGTACCACCATCTTCGTAAAACTGTCAGACCGCGGAACGAGGCATCGACGGGTTGGCCACCGGTTGAATCAACGTTTTTCGCAAAACCGTGGCACGTTGTCGTGAACCCGCGCAGAGTCGAGGTCTTGAATATTTATCAATCCTTCGATACTGCCGGAGGGCAAGACTTATTACATGTCAGCGTTGGCCGATTCTATATTTTCTGTGTTGTCTGCACCATCGCATAGAAACTGTACCCTGACAACTTGAGCGGTTGGTTGTGATTCCCAAGATGAGGACTCTGGAGGTGACGAGTGCAGTTCAGACGGCAGCGTCATCAGGGTTCCGATTGGCGGCGGCGAGGAGGCAGAGGAGGGGGAGGAGGATTGCTACAGCTCTAGTGGGAGTGTGATCCGAGTTGATGCGAACGAGGATGATGGTGGCGTTCTCAAAACGGCCGGTGGTAGCAATGCTGACGAAGATGATGGCTTCAGCTCAGATGGTAGTGTGATCAGGGTGCCTGCAAGCAAAGCGGGATGTGGCGGTGATCGGTCTGGCCAGCGGCCGAAGGATGAGTCACCACCAGAGGACGATCCTGCGGCTGATGGAGGTTGTGGGAGGAGAGGGTGGGAGGGCCAGGGCCACGATGGAAACGTCGTCGAGCCAAGGAGTGCAAGCCAGGCGCCAGCCCATATGAAGATGAATCTTCTAGCGGCCAGTAAATACTTTGGCAGAAAGGGTGGAGCATCGGACGGTGGTCCTGGTGCTGCGGCGCGTGAATCGCAGCAGGCAGATGATAACCCGCAGGTACTTCTCTCTGATTAATGTTCGGTTCAAGTTCAATCATGTACGGCAGGTAGCATACCCAAACCACTGAACCAGTGCCTGTTCTGCATGGTACACTTGTAGACACACTGGAGCAAGCCCAAAACTCGACCCCGAACAACCCAGGTTACGCCCTTCGCCTTCCCCCGTTTCACAGGTCAAGGCTTTGCTGGACGAGTTAGAAAGGCTTGATGTCACATTCGCGAACGACCTCTCCCGGCTAAAAGATACGTACGACCGTTCAAGGGCCAGCCTCCAAGCGAAACTTCGGCATTTATTGGACAGCAGTAATGCTGCCGTAGGATAGGCCACCCGCGGGCGCTCAGTTAGGTTTGCAGTCATGGTCGTCTCCGCCCCACTCTTGACTACTCAGAGATAGATATATATATATATATATATAGAGAGAGAGAGGGAGAGGGAGAGAGAGAGAGAGAGCGTATTGTGGTCGGTCATCGTTCAGATTTAATTTATGTTCACTGTGGCACGTATGGAGATTGTTTGACTGGCTGAGTTGCTGTACTGAGAAGTTGGGAAGAAGCCCTCTTGTTCCTTTTCTTCCTACGCGTATAGCGGGTTTGGCGTTGTCGATAATCCAAGCAAAAACGTGCCAGCTTGAGCATCACTACGTACATACGACGTCCCACGCAGAAATTTCTAGCTGGAGCGGTCACCGCCGTGCATATGCTACTAACAATAATAGTGCACTGCTGGTGTGGCAGGGTATCCAGCACCTTCGTATCAACACCGCTCGCAGCCTACTCGCGAGATTCTTCAACTTGCCACGAAATACTGTAGTTTGTCCGTGAGTATTTGTGGCGTAGCATATTGCCCCCGGGGTGTCGCAAGCGGATAAAAATTATCCCCGGGGGGAAGCGAATATTTCTTACCCCCCATACCATACGGCGTGATGTGTTATTGTTGGGGATGACACCTCTAGCAACAGTTCGAACGATGCCTGACCGAGGAGCTACATCCGGTCAGGAAAATAGTTCGGAATGTTGCAAGAATATTTGTGCGCATACATCACCGTTTGTCGGCGTAGACCCGAAAATTGCCATGGAACCTTAGGAACAGCTGTTCGCCGTCCCAAAGGTGTGTGTGTGCGGTGGACGGTGAAATGATGAAATAAAGCAAATCACAACAGAACGAACGATGGGTCTTACCAAGGGTCTAAAAACCGGCGCTAAAATAGATGGACGAACACCCACGCACACCAAGAAGAAGTGTTTTGTGTTTTGAACCGCACTAAGACTGACGCCTTTTCGTTGGTCAGCCGGTTAGCGCGGTCGATGCTAACAATAACGACACACACCAAGAAGGTTCTATACGTGAAAAAATCCCGGACACAGCCCCCCCCCGCCCCCCCGCCTCCCGGGAGGGCAACTTCGATATCTGCTTTATGTAGGAATTAGAATGCGGGGCGTCGTTCACGAAAGTAAGGCGTTGTTTGCAGAGGGGCTACTATCCACGGTCGGTCGTGCCCTTTACCAAAATGCAGCAACTAGAGGCCCTCCCCCCCCCACGGACACCGTGTTTCGACTAGCATGATAGGCCTACAGAACGTTTCCGCAACTAAGACGATAAAATGTGATCTTCTGAAAAATAGGACACACACATCCGACACATACCCACCCTTGATTCACGGTGCCCCTACAGGATTGCAACGCGCCGTGCCGCCGACAAGGTTGTACATGCACGGGCTGAGTGGGGTGCTCCACATCTGTCTCTTCGCGACCAGGAGGTGAGGTATGAAGAGCAACAGGTTCTCTATGGTATTGAGCCAACCCCTTGCCCATGCGGTCCTTTGTCAATCTGCCTCTAGAATAAATGGCGAAGCAAAGACACGTATGCATGCCTGCTGTCGCTCACCGGTGTTATCATGCGCACGTCGTGGTCTCTGTATCCCAAGTCAATTATCACACAGGTCCCCTGTCTCATTCTCCGTGTTTATCGGGCTCTCTCCAAGATGAGGAACATCCTTTGGCTACTCGGAGTTGCTGCCTTGTCCAGCATGGGCGAAGCCTTCGTCGGTGTGCCAGTTCGGGCCACGGCGTTGGTAGCGCGCGGCCGGGCATCACAGCAGGAGAGCTGCTGCACTTCGTTGGTGAGAGAGACAACCACATGTCGGGCATTTGAAGATTGTCAATCGATATTTTACCCGAAAATTGTGAGGTGGCCAGTTCAACGCCAGCGAAAAACGTGGTTTGCTGTGATTCCGACCTGCATTCGATCTATAACATACCTGTACAAGTTCATACCAAGAGGCATTTTGACTACATTCATGCATTGACCTCCAAATACTGAACGGAAGCTGCCTGCCGGGCGCTACTTGTGTACGTGTCGCGGAGGTACAGCAACAGTCGACAGCCATTAACGGGTCTCGTGGTGCTGATGCTTGTGGCAGGCTGTACAAGGTTGTACGGCGTTCAGGGGGTGCATACTTTCAAACCTATGCGTGCACCACGCGGAAAAGTACATTCTTGACGATTTGAGTACTTGTAAAAAACAAACGCTTTATGTGCCCCCCGCAACGAAGGTACAACAGGAGTTTCCACCGGGCATGGCCACCAGAGCAGGGCAGCGAGCTATGCACTTCGCACCATGGACCCAGTCCACTCTCAATACCCCCATTACCAAGATATTATAAATACAGTAGAGAATGATCACGTACGCTGGGAGATGCCAAAAGACGCTCGGCTCCATGCGCGGGCAATTGCCCCCTTCAGACTGAGTTGATTTCCGCATGTGTTCCCAGTCTCCCAAGTAACTTTCCACAGATGTTTGCAACCGGTAACGTACACTGTTGCTTGTTGGGCGTATGGGAAAACCGTCATGGCAGATTTTCATTCTCGTCCCCAACCTACTCGTCGTACTGGCATAAGCGTGCACACACGCGATGATGGTCAGCCTTCGACGGGTCGTCTTCTCTCCTCTCGTGCCCGCATCAAGCAAACAACCAAACGGTACTACGTACAGTCCCAAAGAAGGCCTGCACTTGGCGGAAACGTATCAGAGAGGCCACATCGTTGGGTGCATGCGTGCGTGTACCATTGCTTACCACTTTTGAAAGAAGCGCTGTGAATAGACGCTGTGCCTGGTCGGAAAGCGCAACTTGTACGGGGTAAAAGCGAGTGAAAATGGAGGGGATGTCCCCAAATAAGTTTCAGCCCTGGAGTGCTGCGAAGAAGCACAGCAATCGCCAGATTACTCCTCGCTTGTCGCTTATAACTAAATGTACGAATCAAGCGCTGCTCCACCAAACATGCGTCCGAAAGCGCATGTGCGCAGGATTACTTGTTGCGTGTCATGTGCAGAACAGCAGGAACACTGGCTCGGGAACCACTCCTGCGGCCAAGTGAGAGAATCACCAAACAATAGCTTGTGCGTAGGGCCATGGGTCTTGGAATGGTGGGTGTCCGTACAGCAAAATGCGCGACCAGAATTTGCCGATCGTGTTGTCGGCTGACTTGGGATATTATGTTAAAGGACCAAGATGGGCACAATGTACACTTACCGCGGTACGCACGTCATTCTTCCTGTTCTGGATGGAGACTTACCACCGGAGCTAGTAGGTCTTGGTTCGAACCTGTTACTTGACCGAAATAAAACACATGGACAATAACCGCGAGAGCTAGTTTAACGGTATTCACCAGAACAAGAGAGGGAGCGAGCGAGCGAGCGAGGGAAAGAGAGAGAGAGAGAGAGAGAGAGAGAGAGAGAGAGAGAGAGAGAGTACTGTGATCTGTTCGATCAAGACGCTATGTTTTGAGGTCATGGCCGGGGCGTCGAGATGAGTGTGATAGAAATATGTGGTGTCATTTGGCATGTTCTGTACGTCCCACTGTCGTTTGTTTTATTGTTTTGATCGAAAAAATTTGCGGCTCTACCATTTCCCAAACATGAAGTGTTGGTTTGTACGTTGATGCATGTTGTGCCGCTTCTTGCTCTGCTAACGAGCGTTTCAGTACCCCTAGTCGCCGGGTGATGTGGGCCTGTAGACTCAATATCGGCCTCTACCATTGAGCATAACCGTAATAATTACCGAGGGAAGGAGGCAAGCACGTGCGGGAGAACAGCCAGCCAAAGAACTACTTTTAGATGAGAGAACTGCTTATTGGAGGTGTCCACGCTGCGACACGCCAGAAAGTATGGCCAGCCCCATTATGAAATCAGTCGCACGGGATTCCCGTGTGTTTTGTGATTTTTGTATGCATCTTCTGGTTACATGTCATGTGCTTCGGTTGTTTCGATCGACGTCTTTTGTTTTGAAGCTTACATACTAGCTATTGCCTGGCCACCAGCTTGAAGGATGCGGTTATCATCCTAAATCGTGTAAGCGGTAGCTCCGGGTCTGGTGGCAAAAACCTGAATATCATATAGAGGTAGGTTGACTCAACGTCGTACATTCGTTGGCGGTCAACCGCAATTGTTGTTGATGATCCACGCCCCAATTGGAATAGTGACGACGTAACTATGACATCCCCGGACCTTATTAGTGCGGTGCAGGACACCGACGAGACACTTGAGCCTCAAGCGCCGTGCCAAATTTTGTCAAAACCAGCAAAGCGGGCAAACCAATCAAGGGGCGAAGGGTAGACAACAGGAGAGTTTTGGAAGGCGCATTCGATACTCTAGGGACTAATGTCGTGCCCAGTGATGTTGACTCCACCGGCTCTCTCTGTGGTGTACTCATTCCAGTATCCACTGTTTGATGATGTCCTCGTCGTCTGTTGGTGCGGTGCTGCTTGGTGTGTCTGTAGTATTCCCCTGCCACCACTGAGGTCGTTTATGTTCATGTGTCTCAGTGCTTTCTGTCTCTCCCTCTCTCCCTCTCTCTCTTTTTGTGTTACATTGTTCGTTGAATCTCAGAAAGGCAACCTGAAGTGCTCCTGCGACTACCTTAGTTTTGTGTAGGTTATAGCATAATCAGTTTATGAGACGTCCGTGACCGTGGGCACACGGGATCAGGTCGTTGATCGTAAGGCACCCTTAATTTTCTCGAATTGCAGGTGTGCATGCACCGGTTCCTTTGTGACTGCACAGCCAAGCATTGTGCGGTAACTGTTGTTTAGGATTTGGTGCACAACACGAGCATTCGAACGAAAACGTTTCAGGAATCTCCTCGGTTGCAAGCATGAGAAATATATGTCCCTTTCTTTGCCTTACCAGCAGGTTACGCATAGCATCCATCGCACTTTTGCGGTCGACCACGATGGCCAAGAGACCGCCCGGCGGCCGGCAAACATGGGGAGGGCTGCAGCAACTAGCGCACTTCTCGCAAAAAAGAAGGGAAGGGGAGGCGGGAACAACGAAGGGGCCAAGCCGCGGGAACGGAAGGAAAAGGATGATGTCATAGAGGTATGACGCAAGATCGTTAGCACACCTAATGTACAACTTCGGCTTCAGTTTCAGGACAATATTTGCCGGAATGATGTGGTAACATGTTGTCCACGTCTGCACGATGTAATTGTATTCCCGACAGCCCACGATAGTATTTTCACATCACATGCGGAGAAATATTGTTCAGCGAAGGCTTGTCGAATGCTGGTGTTGTTTTCGCAACAGGTGGAAGGTGTGGTAAAGGAGGGGCTTCCCAGCGCGATGTTTCGTGTCGAAGTCGGGGCAACGGGAAAGGTGGTCTTGTGCACCATTAGCGGGAGGATACGCAAAAACTTCGTCCGGATTTTGGTTGGAGACCCGGTTCGGGTGGAGCTATCTCCGTACGATCTCACACGCGGCAGGATCACCTTCCGCTACAAGTAAGCTGCCGATTGGACTCATTTGAGTGAATGCTTGATCGACCAACATTCCCCGTGCGGTAGCGACTGTAACGTTGTTCGGTGGTTTCGAGATCCATAGTTCGGGGGCTGCGGATTTGACAAGTGCCATGCATTACCGCACATTACCCGATTGCCTTGGCTGCAGTATAGCATCCGTGCGATCCCTCAAAACTTTCGGGGGGTATACACACCCTGTTGTTTGCCGACATGGCCGTTGGGCGTGGATTCTCACTCGGCCAACAACACCCCCTCCCCACCCCTACCCTATCCTTGCTGTTGCACTTGACTCCTGTCGCGTGCTTGTTCGTTTTAGGAAATAACAATTTGGCAACGATCGTTGCGCCTCCCCGTGTTGAGCAAACAACACAAGATGGCTGCCAAGGGTGCAGTGCATCTTTTCAAAGCCTGGGGCAGGCTCCTTGAAGCGCGTCGTTGATGTTCTGGGTTAGAGAGGTTTTCATGACGGCGGAGCATGTTCCTTGGTTGGTTTGGGTTAGAGTGTCATGAATGACTCGACTAGTCGGCACAGACAGTAAATTCTAGTAGAGCTCCTCGTTCCACCAATCGAATCCACTGCTGTCACTCGATGCACAGCGATGAACGGGGGCACAATTTCTGTAGATAAGTTGCGAGTGGTCGTGTGTAGTGTAGCACCCGCACTGTTTCGTTATGCCTCGCCTGCGGAATAAAATAGACACCCAGTGCTTGTGTGATTGTGACACGTCCGCTATCATCCATCTTTCGCATGCTGGCCTGGGTGGCATGCCCGCACATGGACGCCGCCTACCAAGTCTGTCACCGACATGCTTATTTTCGCCAAGACAAATAAACAGCCAGACCCTGCCAAGACAGGGTTGTGAATGCCGTAGTGAAATGACCCGCTTTAACCTGCATGCGGGGACTGTGACTCGCGTGCACAAGGTTCGTGTAAAAATTAGCCTGCGTCGCGCGTGGAAAGAGAGGCTTCTCGGATCTCCGCGTGCAAAGCAAGCACGTTCAATGTCTATGGCCATTCAGAATCGATCAACGCACGCCTGGATGGCGCCGAGTACGTAGCACATGCGCGTGAGCTTTCACCAAAGATTCAAACGCCTTGGATTGCTGCTCTCGGCGGAGTGCACGTCTGCACGCAACGATATTGCGGTAGCTGTCGGGCTGGAGATCATGCGGTCTTCCTCAACCAGCCCGCGATACGGAGCCTGGCCACTATGTACGCAAAATACAATGATGATGAGCTCACACACAAAAAAACGTTCTCATGTACTGTAGACTGTGGTAGTCCACATTCGAATTTCATTCATTGTAACTCAGCCGTTTGTCCAGCATGAGAATACATACTATTTTTTCCACGCAACGAAGCCGGCGAACTTTCGCTTGCACTTTCACTCCTGCTTATAGTCTAGACTACTCTGCCCGCCAGAACGTTTGAATCTCCCTCTCGCCAGTTGTCCGGTTGATGGTGGAGGTGGTGTTGGTCTGGTTGGGACTGCATGTAAAGCACCGCCAGCCGTTGATGAGAGAGCTTTTTTCGGCTGCAAGCTCAAGTACATAAGCAGCTGCCGACCGACGGACAGATGGGACGCCGACAATAGTTTGGAAATACACACACAGAAAGACCAGAGTAAGGACGGGTATTAAGGACCCCCTAAGGCACCCCCCACTTAGGCAGCTTGTTCTCTGGTTTCAAGATGATTCATGAAGAGATCAAGGTATCATACGATAGCCTATAACATAGACTACATGACAAAGAAAGAAAAATTGAAAAAAGTGAAGGTGGCGAGTATATATAGACCTTGAAGTATACCTCACGTTGTAGGTAACAATTGGGTCAAAAGGGAGGGGTATTAAGGACCACTTTCCGGTAGTGGCCGGATACGCACGTTCTAAAGCGTTCCACGACCTGAAATTTGGTACACAGGCTCTTAGTATGACGTATGTTCGATACAAAAACAATAAAATAAAATGGTGCACACCCGGGGACAAAATGCCCATATCCCCGGTTTTTCGGCCCAGTTTTGAGGAACGGAATATACCCCTTTTGGGTGGTACTGCGTGTTCTCTTGCCTTGAAATCATGCAAACGTAGTAATTTGATGAACTTATGACTTGTATGCGTCCTACTTGGACTCACAAAAAAAAAATTGCGGCAATCGAATACCTATGGACGACATTATGCCTGTCCAGACATGGGGTACTTTCCCCCCTTTTTCGGCTTGTACGGCAGAAAATTCCGAAAAAATCTGCTACAGTTAAATGAACAATTTACACCCACAACTCAACCCCCACGAGACGCCGGTTGAGAGAAACGAAGTAAACGTTGCAGAAAACGCGTTGGACAAGAAGAAAAAAAAA